TGACAGTCTCACGTTTCTGTTGTTACAATTCTTCAAGCTGATCTGACATTAACCCATATAACTTATCAATCTTTCCATCCCTATTGCGTTCCTGATCCTTGTATCCTCAATTCCACGGCTTGGAGTATCGTTGCCCGTCGTTGTCACCCACCGTTGTAACTGTTGCTGACGTAAGAGAGATACGATTACATACACATGGATAGACAAAAAAGAAGATGCCTTGAGCATGAATATCACGGCGTACAACATCTCCTCCTCACCAAAACTCAACCCTTCCACTCAATACGCCACTCAAATTAAGGTAGTCAATCTCCTACTGCCCTATGGTTATATACCTTTCTTGTCTACTTGAAAAACTTTTTTCGAGTGTAGTGCCTTTGAAAAGCAGACACACTGCCTTGACATCGAAAACCCAGTCATGGATTTTAAGAAACATAATATTCATAAAACCTTTGCCTACTTTAGAAATCATACTGCCGCATGCAGCGTTCTTGGCAGATCGCTGAGTGAGCGTGACAAAAAACAAGGAGGGGGAGGGGGGGGAGGGGGGGGATTATGTATGTTGAAGTTCCGACATCACAAAGCTCACACGTTTTACCATTTTACGATTCGTCGAAGTACCGTACGACCGCGTAGGCCTTACCGTTTTTACAGGCTTGAAGTTGCCAAATGCTTCCCTTTGTGACTCAACGAATATGGAGCTTTCACTTTTCAGCAGAAATTATGTTACTCTGCAGTCAATATCAAGGAGATCTGCAGCCAGTTGTTGTGGCGGTTGATGCCATAGGAAATTGTCGAATGCTTCCCCTTTGTGACTCAGCGGATGTGGAACTCTCATTTTGCAGTAGAAATTGTTTTATTCTTCAGTCCAGAAGATCTGCATCCGATTGCTGCGGTAACTGACGCCACAATTCAATTAAAATGTGCTCGTGATGAGCTCAATCATTCGGTCCCAAACGGGTATGCTCTCTTGCTGTTTCATCCATTTGAGGCCCATGATGACTATTTTTTTGGGGTAGTCCAATTCCTTAATTCCAAGGCAAAGGTAAGTACTCCTAAGCAGACCATACGCAGATCGTTACAATTCTGCGTGATCCGGAAGATGCCATTGGCCACTACAATAAATTTTGCCTTTTTTGGCCCATACGATGAAAAATTATTGTACGTCCGAAGTCGTAGCGAACTTGGGGACCAGACTGTCCCCACGTTTTTAAACTTGTTAGCCACGAGCACGGACGCAAAAAACTCAGAAATGATCATTCTGATCTCTAGGAAATTCAAAATCCCGAACCCATAATTAGTTCGTTCAAGTACCAGCCGCTCTGAATAGCATTGTGTGACACGATCCAGACATCCTTCGACTTTCTCAAAGCCTTGGGGGTCATCTTTTCGAAAAAACGAAAAGATCAACAAATCATCAATATATTTTTTTCATGTTACCAGTCTCGCATCATAACCCAGTAGCCACATGAACTTGAATTTTGAGAGCATACATATGACATATGCAAGAGGAGGGTTTGCTCTCCCTCCCATTGGGATGCCTTCTGTTGACGAAGGGCCGCATCTACCACCAGAAACACTGTGTTACGAAACTGATTTCGGGTTAATCGGATCAATTTGCTTAGGCGGATGAATTTTCATCCATCCTTGCCATGGGACTTTCCAAACGCGGCCAATTTCTTCCTTACATTCAAACGGATTCATTTTTTTTCAATTTTTTTTTTAAAAATGGGCCCAGTGCCCAAGGCTCATATTACCAATAAGAAGATTGAGGTCGGGGTCCTCACAATGTACCTAGAGTGACCGAACCGGAAGTGCTGAGAACCACGCTCAGCGCCCTCATATGATGATGATGATGATGATGATGATGATGAGCTTCTACTAATTCTATGTAAACAGTGATCATACAAATGATGATGATGCTAATGATGATGATGCTAATGATGATGATTAGCATATAAAAATTATAGAAGACTATGTTATATTAGCAATTCTGGTCTCCTAATCCTAAAACAATTCCTAGCCCTTCCTGTACCAGGACTTTCATCTCAGAGACAATGCAATCCTAACCAACAGCTACCATAGCTAACATGTTATCGCCACCTAGACTATCCCCGGACTCATAGGTTGTCAAGGCAGCCCCCCCAGTTTGGCATCGGCAAACCAGGGGCATAACACAAAGCAACTCTGCAGATATCAGTCCAAATTTCACCGTCTCTTAAATCCTATATCCTGAATGAGGAAGAAGGTCAGATGCTGCCAAAAATTACATAACACCAGAAAGCTTGATATAACATGTTTGAAAACTAGGTAATTCTGAAGCATCTGTTTTGTAGACTAATCTACCACCCTCCCCCCTACCCACCCTATCCCAACGCTGCCTCCACTGAAACAAATTACCCAGATTACAGGCATCCCATCTCAACCCCAACTTGGGACAGTCCCACATTCCCCCCCCTTATCCCACAAAGGCACACAGTTCCCTCCCAAAGTATGCCTTTTCCCACCTTTTACCCTAATCTGCCCCCGCTGGGATGTGTACCCCCACCCCAACCCCAAAATAGGACAACCCACTAAATCTGCTCGCACCCCTCCAGGGTTTCACCTCCCACCTTGTGTCGCCCTTGCAGAGTGGAGCTCTCCCCTAACAGCAATTTCGTCAAAACGGACATATTTTATTTTTTGAACGAAATTGAAACCTCATAAATTAGAGAGATTTAGGTGGAAATTTCAAGCTCATGAGGGTCCGGTGTCCTTAAAACGCCGGACCCCTTGGATGTATCTGGACTTAGCTGGAGTCCAGGGGGTACGGCGTTCTGAAAGCGCCGTACGCCCCTGGATGTATCTGGACTTAATTTGCATCCAGGGGGCAGGGCGTTTTTAGAACGTCGTACCCCCTGGAGCTGAAAATATCGACATAAATCGGACCAATTTTTTAGTTTCAATTTCGTTCAAAAAATAAAATATGTCCGTTTTGACGAAATTGTTGTTCCTGTTCACTCCACCTTCCATCCATCAGAAAAAACATTGATGCTCATAGAGGAGAATATAGATATCTGGAACAGACATTCGAACCAAAGAAATTTACGTTGGAGAAATTTTGAAAACCAGGTTTTTACAAAAGAATTGGATAATTTTGATTTTAATACAAAGAATGAACCCCAGAGAAATACCAAGATTTTAATACTTTGAACTTTTGTAGCGAAAGAATCCCAGCTATAAAAGAAAATATGACGAAATCACTAGGAGAAAACCATCGTGAAAAAGGCTGGCAGATATACCACAGAGAATTTATGTCTATAAAAATACCAATTATGTTAGCTAGAAGAGAGATTTCAGGTTCTGAAAATAAGGAAGATCGAGAATGTATTGAGACTTCAGTCAGGATATTAGTTAGAAAAGCTACTTAGGATGAGATGATGAGATTAGTAGTTAGATTGATGATTAGGTAGCACGGTGACTAAATGAGGAATTCAAACACTAGATAACTATGGAGCAGTTTGCATTCCAAGGGTGAGTGAGCCCGTCCCCTCTTCCCCCTCGAGAATGTATTGAGACTTCAGTCAGGATATTAGTTAGAAAAGCTACTTAGGATGAGATGATGAGATTAGTAGTTAGATTGATGATTAGGAAGCACGGTGACTAAATGAGGAATTCAAACACTAGATAACTATGGAGCAGTTTGCATTCCAAGGGTGAGTGAGCCCGTCCCCTCTTCCCCCTCCCTCTCCCTATCCCAACTCTACCTACTCCAACCCTCCCTCCTCATCCCACCATCAATCCCTTTGCTCACTACCTCCCTCGCCATGTCCTTCAACCCTAGACTCCTCCCCTTCCTCTCCCCTCCCCCATTTCCCTCGTGATGTCTCACCCCTTCCCCCACCATACCCCAGCCCCCCCATCCATTGTAATCACCCTCACCCACCTTCCTTTCGGTACTAGAGTGAGAGACTCCAACAAACGAAGTAGCTATCAGGCTAGAGCAGAGCAAAGGAAAGTGTCAGCGAGGAAGTAAGGAAGCGAGAAAGGAAGAAAGAAGAAAGGGTGTAAAGGAGGAGAGAGAGGTAGGGGGTGAAAAAGGGAATTGATAGAGAAATGTGAAGGGGGAAATGAAGTGGAAAGACGTGATGGAGAGACGATCCAACCCCTCCTCCTATGCCCACTCACTTTAATGATGATGATGATGATGATGATGATGATGATGATGATATGATGATATGATGATATGATGACGATAAGTATGATAATCCATCCCCCCGCACCATGATGATGAAGATAATGACCCTAGTAAGTATTTCTCCCACAATGTTGTTGATGATGACGATATTATTTTTGTTGCTGATGCTAAACATAATGAACTTATAATGATCCTTACTGATGCTGCTGCTGATGATGATGAAGATGGCGCCGAACCTTTCTTAAAAAAACGCATTGGATGTCTCATGCCAATCCTCCTCCCACTCCTCGTGATGACACTCTCCTCTTCTTCACTTACCTCAACCAACCTACCTCCACTTGAAAAGGACGCAAACTAAAGAGCATGAGTGACTCGTCATGAAGACTCACTTCCAATCGAAAGCAGGCTCCCCTCCATACGGCATGCTAGCCAGCAGCATGACTCGATGAAGCGCGAAACAAGAAGATGGCAATAATCTGCTTTCAAAAGACAGGGGAACACCAAGTGACACTTAAATATCTGCCTTTTCGCCATCTATTTGTCCAAATAATGAAGAAAATATCCCCACCTTATTCCTAATCATGCGACCGCAAGCCAACACAAGCCATCGCACGCGCCATGCTCGCTAGCCAGCCCGCAATCCAGCCCACGCGCCATGCCCGCTAGCCAGCCCGCAAAACAACTGAATCAACCATTCCACAACCTGGAGAATTTCCAAATGCGGGAGTTGAGTGAACATTTCCTTGACGTCGTATGTCCGCTCGACCACACCAAGGGTAGATGCCGCTCCTTTTTCGTTGACTTTCTCGATTTCTTGATGCAGGTCACTTAGGCTTCGAAGGTTAAAATGGGGCACTTTTGTCTTCTTAATCAACCCATTCAGAGCCAAAGATAGGATGCCAGATGCAGTACACAAATGACTTTGATATAACGGGACAATTGGTCTCCGTTTTTCCTTGTCCTTTTCTTTTGCCATGATGTAGGCAAACTGTAGTTCTCCACATCTGTCCCGTTTTGCAATATCAGAAAGGCCCGCACTTTCATAACCTGATTTCATTGCACGAAGCATATCAATTTTATTTTCTGTCATTTTTTCATGATTGTCATTACACAAAAACATTTTTTGAAGGCCTTGCCAATACCGCTTTGAACACTCAATCCAGGTTTCACTGGTGTTGCGGTCCAGGGGGGCAAGAACGAGACCCTCAAAAGCCTGTTTAACGCCACAAACGTATTCACTAAGGACACAACCATCTGGCATGCCACTATGCTTTCTTCCAACTGTACCGAAATCAATCCTTAGTAGGTTTTTAATGGTCCCTGTTTTTCGCAGCCCATCAAGTGCTTCATTACAAGTCGATTCAGTCAACGGGGCTTAAACCACCAGTACTTGGCCCATACATCGGCCACGGGGCTTTGTTGTTAACGCCCCGCAACTTCTGGAGGCTCGGGGTACCTGCCCTCAAAGGCTGGCGCCGCTAGCCAAAACAATTTTTTTTTTGTTGCGCTGGCGGGTCGGCGCGAAACGGTGCGCCTCCCGTTTTCAGGCTCGGCATCGATAGCTGGGCCAAGTACTGGTTGTTTAACCGGGCCCAGTGCCTGTCAATCTCAGGCAAATCGCACACACGATCGAATTTGCTGCAGCGTGCGAAACATTTTTTATTATGCAAGATGTCTCCGACTGACTTGGCTTTAAGCCAAACTGCCCGAGTTCGTTTTGCATACACGTCAGCTAATGATGCTGGTTGGACTTCACGGCCAACCCAGTCCTTCACAAAATCTTCAACCTTCTTTTTATCAATTGATGTAAAAGGAATTTTAATATTTACAGAACCACGGGGATTAAACCACCATTACTTGGCCCAGCTATTGAGTCCGAGCCTCGGTCGACCGGTAGGCGGAACTGTGCCGAGTCTCGGACTACCGGGCGTTAAGTTCCCGGACATACTGGTAAAACAAAACGAAAAAAAAAGAGAAAAGAAAAAAATTCAAAGCAAGACGAAATAAGAAAGCCAAAGAAAAAGGCAAGAAAAAACAAACGTTTATTATGCGCGCGTGAGAGAGAGAGAGAGAGAGGAGCGGCGAGTTTGCCGCTGGCCTCCATGCAGCTCGCCGCCTCTCTCTCTCTCTCTCTCGTGTGTCCACGCATTTTCTTTTCTTGTCTTTTCTTTTTTCTTTTTTTTTTGGCAACAGTCCGATTGCTTATCACCGGCAAGCATTTTGAAGGAAACAAAGGAGGGGGAGGAGGGAGAGGGGGGGAGGGGGGAAGGGGGGGAGGGGGAGAAAAGAAGGATGGTAAAAGAGGTGAAAAGACCTTGCCCTTAGAGGCTCGAGACGCCTATAAGGGGGTACTGCTAGATCCACCATCCCCCTCGTACCACCCACCCACCATGAGGTTCTCCTGTCAGCCGGGAAACACACAGCGGTACCCAGACGCAGAGCAGGGGAGCCCCAGGGGAGGGAGGGGCACAGGGGGGGTGGCGCTAGTAGTCTCCTGAGTCCACATATCTGTGCACTGGTATACGGGAAATGAATCAGCGGGAAGATTCATTTCCCGTTTCGCGCTATGAAAACGCACGGACACAAGAGAGAGAGAGAGAGAGAGAGAGAGAGAGAGAGAGAGAGAGAGAGAGAGAGAGAGAGAGAGAGAGAGA